TGGATTTGGACCGTTGTTGGAACTGTGTAAAGACGACTCCGGAATGGAGTTTTGTTGATTCTCTTAGCTTCGTTGGGTGATTTTGGACTTAGGGGTGTGTCCGGATTGTGATTTAGAGGTCCGTAGCTCATTTAGGCTTGAAATTGCAAAAGTCGAAATTTTGGAGTTTTGGACCGGTAGTGGAATTTTTGATATCGGGTTTGGAATCCGTTTTCGGAAGTTGGAGTAGGTCTGTAATGTGGATTATGACTTATGTGCAAAATTTGAGATCATCAAACGTGGTTTGGTTTGTTTCGGCATCGGTTGTCGAATTTTAAAGTTTCAAGTTCATTAAGTTTGGATTGGAGGGTGATTTGTGTTTTTAGCGTTTTTTGATGTGGTTTGAGGGCTCGACTAAGTTCATATGGTGTTTTAGAACTTGTTGGTATGTTTGTTTGAGGTCCTGGGAGCCTCGGGTTGATTTCGGGTGGTTAACGGACCTTTGGACTTAAGAAGAAGATTGTAGAAATTACTGAAGTCTCCAGCTCTAGTTTCCTTCTTCGCACTCGCGAGGGAGGTCCCGCGTTCGCGAAGAGGAGCTGGGACAAAAGGGAAAATTTTTCTTCGCATTTGCGATTATGGGGACACATTTGCGAAGGTTTGGCCATTAGTGTATCGCGAACGTGTGAAGGACATCGTGATCGCATAGAGGAAGTGGTGCAACTGGGGGCCCCAAGGATTTGTTCTACGCGTTTGGGTAGAGGAGACCGCGTTCGCGAAGGGTCTAGCAAGTAAAGCAACGCGTTTGCGAGAGGATACTCGCGTTCGCGAAAGAGGAATTTTGATCAGTGAATTTCTGTTTTACGCGAAGACGAGGAGATGGCCGCATTCGCGACGAAGGGCGTACCTGGGCAGAATTTAAAGTTCAAAAATGAGGGTTTTGATTCATAGCACAAAATTTGATTGAGATCTTGGTAGAAGGCGAAATTTGGAGAAATTTTCAGATGACGTTATTGGGTAATGATTCGTAACTCCTTTATGGTTTTATCCCACTAATCTATGCTTGATTTCATTATTTAATTTCGGATTTGGGGTGGAAAATTGGGAAAATTTGAGAAAAGTTCTTAGGCCGAATTTTTGGGTTTTGATGGAGATTTTTTTATCGGATTTGAGTGAATTTGGTATGGTTAGACTCGTGAGTTAATGGATGTTTATAATTTGTGACTTTTACCCGATTTCGAGACGTGGGCTTGGGAAGGCTTTTTGGGCATTTTTCTATTTTCATGTCTTAGCTTTGATTTCATTAGCTAGTTAGTTGCTTGTAGCTATATTTACGTTATGTAATTGATTTGGCTAGATTTGGGTCATCCGGAGCCGGATATTCGTGGAAAGAGCATTGTTACAGATTTATTTGAGCTTGGTTCGAGATAAGTGGCTTGCCTAACCTTGTGTGGGGGAACTCCCCTTAGAATTTTGTATTGTTTTTATATGTGAGCGTCGTGTACATGAGGTGACGAGTACGTACACAGGCTATTTATTGTGAAATCCTGTCTTTCACTAAATCATAACCTGTTTTCTTTTTATTTGAACTACACTAGCATATGTAACTATCCTGCTTAGTTAAAATAGCATGCCTATGTGTTTTAACTACCTGAACTCTATGCAGCATGTTTACTGAAAATACCTGCTTTCTTTGACTTGAACTTAGTCTAAACCGTAGGTTTTCTTGCTGTAACTGTTATTTCTATTGGTTGAGCTGCATATTTACTTTGGGACTATGGAACGGTATTCTAAGAGATCTCCCTGTACTGCATAATTACTTTGGGACTACGGAACGGTATTCCGGGAGATCTCCCTATTCTGAATATTTACTTTGGGACTACGAAATGGTATTCCAGGATATCCCCCTACACATTTACATTTGGAACTACGAGAAGGTATCTCGAGAGATCCCCTGTTGTTATCGTTGTGTTATGAGCTATTTTCTTTCATTTATTCTATCTCTGTTAGATTCCCGTATCTATCTCTACTGTGATATTTTGTTCTGTCTTATTTCATCATATTTATACCAGTAGGGCCCTGTCCTGGCCTCCTCACTACTCGACCGAGGTTAGGCTTGGCACTTACTAGGTACCATTGTGGAGTACTCACACCCTTTCCTGCACATGTTTTTCGTGTGCAGATCCAGGTTCATCGTACCAGCCTCATCACTAGTTGTAGTCGCTGCTACTTATTGGATACTTCAAGGTACATATGCTCGCGCCCGCAGATCCTCGGAGTCGACCTCTTTCCCCCTATGTTCATTTTTCCCTCTTCTTGTAGAAATGATGTATAGAACAGTTAAGACTTTTTAGTAGCTTGTGACTTGCCGTATTCGATAACACCCTGGATTTTGTCAGATTCCAACATTGCAAAAACACAAGAGAGATGCTGTTTATGTAAGTTAATAAGCTTTAGAACCTAGTGACGCGTTTTAAAGTCGTGCTGTCCTAGGCCCAAAGTGAACAATATCACTAGTGGGCTGGGCTGTTACATATGGTATCAGAGCCACTCTTGTGTCTGCCATGCCAATGGTGGGTCAGAATTCAACCGAGTTAGGCAAATCCCGATTAGGGGCCAAACCTTAATGCTGAGTCTAGGCAAATCCCATGCGGTGGGGCAAACCTCAGCAAGGACGTTGAGTCCACAAGAGGGGGTGTATATAACACCCCAGATTAAGTCAGAGTCCAACATCGGCAAAACACAAGAGAGATGCTGGGTATGTATGTTAATAAGCTTTAGAACATAGTGACACATTTTAAAGTCGTGCGGTCCTAGGACCAAAGCGAACAACATCACTAGTGGGCTGGGTTGTTACATATTCTGAGTTTTGGGAGTTGTTTGGTGCATTTCGAAGGTGAAAATTTGTATATGACGAGTGGCATTCAGTTGCTTATTGGATATTGTTATTGTTAGTGGGTTATGTTCATGCTTTTATTTTATTTCCGCAAAGTGTTAGGATTACTTAGTCGTAGAGACTAGGTGCCGTCACGACAACTCACGAGGGGAGAAATTGGGTCGTGACAAGTTGGTATCAGAGCTCAAGGTTCATAGGAGTCGTGGGTCACAAGCCAGTTTATTAGAGTCTCGCGGATCAGTACGCATACGTCTGTACTTTTATTCGGGAGGCTATGGAACTGTTAGGAAAATTCCACTTCATTTGATTCCTTGTCGTGTGAGATTATTGACTTCGAAATTCTAAACTTGTGTATTCTATTCTCTCACAGATGGTGAGGAGACGTGCTACTGGAGATGACCAGGCACCCGCACCCCCTGCTAGAGCTGCTAGAGGCCAGGGCCTTGGTAAAGGCCGAGGACGTCCACGTGGTGCAGCCAGAGCACCCGAGAAAGCAAAATAAAGTACACAACATGAAATCCAAATTGAGAAATTAAGAATGTCACGACCCAATTCTATTTTAGGTCGTGATGACACTCAGCGACGTCGCTAGGCAAGCCAACAGTGAGCAAACTATGCGATTTCTCATTTTAAAAGATTTTTTTCCAAGTAATCAAATTATCTTTTAATTTAAAAAATTCAAAAAGTAATAGATTTAACAATAAATAACACGAAAGTTAATAAGTGCAAACATGATCATGAAATAAAACCAATCACTACAACATTATATATCTATAGCTACGAAATCTTAGTTACGAATTTAAAATCTGTAGCTAATACCTTATAATAGCCACAAAAATAAGAATTCTATGGCTATTTACAAAATTATAAAATTTCTTAGCTACGAAAAATAAGTTGGTAAAGCTAATTCCTCATATTAGCAATAATGGATAACAATCGTGGCAATAACTACCCAAATAGCTATAAATTCATTGCTACAAATAAAATTTTGTAGCTAATCATAAGTTTTTGCCACACACCAATTTTTATTGTAGTAATAGTAACTTTTTATCCATAAAAAAAATATTTAAAATAAAATATTGTAGCTAAATGAATATTTTTGCTTCAAGTACTAAAACGTTGTGTCAGTAGTTAGATGATATAGCCACAGATTTATTGCTATAATTAAATTTCGTAGCTAATCATTAGTTTTTTGCCACGAGTTGAAACTTACTATAGATATAGTAACCTTTTAGCTACAATAAAATATTTGAAATAAAATATTATAGCTAAATAAATATTTTTGCTTCAAGTTATAAAAAGTTGTGGCAATATAGGTTAAATTAGCCACAAATTTCTTGCTATAATAGAATTCCGTAGCTAATTATTAGTTTTTTCCACGAGTTGAAACTTAATATAGCAATAGTAACCTTTTAGTCACAATAATTATTTAAATCAAAATGTTACTAAATAAATAATTTTGCTTCAAGTTCTAAAAAGCCATAGCAATAGTTGGCTTAATAGCTACAATTATTTGTCAAGATAAAATGATACAACAACATTTATTTTTATGATAAATTTTATTAGTTTTTGCCACAAGATAGATTTGCCGTAACAATAGCAATCTTCTAGCCACATTTAATATTTGAAACAAAATATTGTAGTCAAATAAATATCAATCTTCTTATTTTAAGAAAATAAAATAGTTAGATAATATTAACAACTATTTGTCATGACAAAATTAATATCCACGAATTTAAAGTAACGATAAAACTTACGAGTTAACTATAAGTTAAGTCGTACATTTAGGATTATCATTGCAATAACAATATTTTAACCACAATAAATTATATGTACAAAATTTCATAGGTGAACATTTTTATTTCAATGAAAAAAATAAGAGTTGGTCAAACAATATTAAGTTATAAAAATTCAATTTTTACAAAAAATGTTAAATATTTCCAAAAATAACAGAAACTATAGTAATTCTTTTTTTTGAAAATTAACATTTTCATTTCTCAACCAATATTACATATTGCACTCAAGCTTAATCTGGACATACGCCCAGATTTTAGCTCCATTCCTGGCCTCATTAACTACTAGTATAAGAGACAGTTTAGTCTAACTACTCTCTATAGAACAATCCTTACATACTAGGATAGTAGTTGAGTTCCCGTAGCCTTCTTTGTAGCATGTGTTTACTTTCTCCTCGCCCATGTACATCCTGCATTATTGCTCTGCTTAGAGTACCTTCTAGTCGTTGCATTCCTTTGAAGATCCTGCCATTCCTCTCTTGCCATATGTAATACAGTGTGCCTGCCAGTACAAGTTTGTACAACTCAGTTGTTATGCTCCTCCCTTTATAGTACTTCCCTGCCCACTCAAGTTCATTTGCCCACATCATTAGTTGTCTCTGGATCCCTTGCCATTGTAGCATTAGTGTCCATACTCTCGATGAATAGGTACATTTAAAGAACAAATGATCCATTGTCTCCTTTTCACTGTTACATAGAGAACATGTTACATCCTCCACATAGCCCAAACCCTTCAACCTGTCTTTAGTCATCAATCTTCTATGTGCAGCTAGGAAGACTATAAAACTCCATTTCAGCACTCCAACACTGCTGTGCACCAGTTTCCTCCATGGTACTCTATCAAAGTCACCCCTCATACATACTCTTAATAGAGAAGCTGCTTATTCCCTCTATATCCACCTCTGTATAACCAGCTTCCTCAAAGTATTGTTTGGCTTTAAGTATCTTCTGTACTTTCAAAGAGGCTTGTTTTGATACAATACTCCATAATGCATTCTGTTTCTGATAATAGACATGTATCAATTGCACCCATAACCTATCTTTCTTCTTGCATAGGTTCCAAAGAAGTTTACATATGACTGCCTTATTCCATTCCCCTATAGCCAGTAGATTTAAACTACCAGTTGCTTTAGGTTTGCACAAACTGTCCCATAACAAAAGAGCTTTCCTTGACACTTCTACACCCCCGGTCCATAGGAATGTTTTGTATACTCTTTCAATAAGTTGGATGAGTTTTTTTGGCAACACAAACACCTGAGACCAGTATACTTGGATAGAGAATAGCACACTCTTGATTAGCTGAATTCTTCCTGTATAGGACAGAAACATTGATGTCCAGGAATGGATTATCCCTAGCATCTTCTCAAGCAATGGTTGGCATTGTATTAATGATAACCTCTTAGAGCTAAGAGGTACCCCTAAGTACCTAACTGGTAGTGTTCCTCTGAGAAAACCCAAGTCTTGCAATATCTTCTGTTATTGGTCATCATGCACTCCACCAAAGAATATGGAACTTTTATCAGCATTTGCCACTAGCCCTAAAGCCTTAGAGAATTGCTGAAAGCACTGAAGTAGTAACTGAACAGATATATCATCACCTCTACAGAATAGTAATAGATCATCAGCAAAGCTTAATTGCACTATGATCCATTTGCCACATTTAGGGTGATAGTTGAAATTAGGATCCTTTTTAACTGTCTTCAAAAGTCTTGTCAAATACTCCATAACCAGCATAAATAGGTATGGAGATAGGGGATCTCCCTGTCTCAACCCTTTCTTAGCTGGAAATGGCTTTGTAGGCTGCCCATTAATCATAATGGAGTATGAGACTGTTGTAACACAGCTCATAATCCATTGCACAAATCTCCCTGGCAGCTGCATATGAGTCAACACTTATTCTAGATAACCCCATTCCACTGAATCATATGCCTTCTTCATGTCTTTCTTCAGCATACATCTGGGAGAGACACCTTTCCTGCCATATCCTTTCACTAACTCATGACTAAGTATTATATTGTCATTTATCAGTCTACCGGGAACAAAGGCAGACTGACTCTTATCCACTAGTCCATCCATCACTCCTTGTAATCTGTTGGTCAGTATCTTTGATATAATCTTGTAAATAATTCTGCAACATGATATTGGCCTATAATCAGTAATTTTACAAGAACTTTTCACCTTAGGAACAAGAGTTACTATTGTACAGTTGATAGGCTGATACATATTTGAACTTGAAAAGAACTCGATAACTGCATCTGTGATTGTATCTCCTACTACAGTCCAAGCCTTCTTAAAGAATAGAGCATTGAATCCATCACACCCAGGGGCTTTGTTATCACTGATACCTTTCAGAGCCTAATAAATCTCCTCCTTTGATACCTCTACAATCAGTTGTAGTTGTTGCACTCTATTCACCATAGGACTATCTCTCATAATAGCTGGATTGATAGCAGGCAATTCAGTTGCTGATGAGCCTAACAGCTGTTGATAGAACCCTATCACCTCCTCCTCAATGTCCTTCCTTGTTTGCATTGTGCTCCTATTACCCTTTATTAGTCTTCTAAGCTAGTTTTGGCTGCATCTGTTTTTCATATTTGCAAAAAAATATGTTGTGTTGGCATCACCTAGCTTTTTTAGCCATTTTACTCTTGATTTCTGTCTCATAATGCTTTCCTCCACCCTAACCATTTCTCTAGTTGTATTTTCATTACTTTCTCTTCAGCTACTAAGGTCTCATCTTGCCCAGGATCCCTCATTTGCTCTTTCATATCAGTTAGTCTTTGTCTACACACCTTGATCCTATCACCAACAACATTATATTCTTTTTTGTTTAAGACCTTCTGTCACGACCCAAACCCCGGTCGTGATGGCGCCCAACACATTGCTAGGCAAGCCCGACCATTTACACAACCTTAGCCAAATAATCTAATTAAATAAATAAATGTTCACTACTATAATACCAATTTAGTGCGGAAATTCTGATATAATCTCTAACATTCGAAAATCCCAAAGTAAAATACTAAATAGCCCACAGAATCTGGTGTCACGAACATGAGCCTCTAGAAGCAGATTATTCACCTATTACATGTCTGACTAGGAAAATAATACGAATAAAATAATGAAAGATAGAAGGGAGAGATCAAGGCTGCGAATGCCATGCAGCTACCTCGACACTCTCAGATAACTGCTGCTCAGCTAACAAGCCCTCACTCACCCTTTGGTGTACCTGGATCTGCACACAAGGTGCAGGGAGTATTGTGAGTACTTCCAACTCAGAAAGTAATAAACATAAATAAGGGTTGAGAGTAAGAAATCCTGGACAGGCACAAAGTAAGCTATAATTACAGCAGCTCAATCTAAATCATATCAACTCAATAAACTAATGAATACAATTATAGAAATATCACAACAGACAAATAATTAAATGGCAATCAAGTATGCAATGCAACACATAAACCGGTACCTCCAGTACCCCGCTGCGGCCGTGCAGCCCGTTCCATTTATTTAATGTCGACGGCGCTCACTGGGGGTGTGCAGACTCCGGGAGGGGCCCCTTACGGCCCAAGCACAATAATAAGCCATCTCGTGGCATCAAACAGGCCCTTAGCCTCATATCAATATCATTATAATACTGCTGCGGCGTGCAGCCCGATCCCATACTCAGTCCAAAATCACACAATAGTATAAAAATATTCAACCCAAACTTCATTTAAAAATATTAACTTAATTTCTAATTTAAGAAAATAGCTGAGATTTCAAACACAGTATTAAATACCAGGACTGAGTTTAATATTTATAAATATGGTAAGAAACCATTAAAATAATCCCTGAAGGATTCAAGTAGTTGGCACGAAGCCCAATTATGATAATAATCTATTTTATAAGGATATTACAAATCTACAATCAAATAGGTATCGATTTTATTAAGCGGGACGGACCAAGTCACAGTCCCTGACGGTGCTCTACCCCACGCCCGTTATCCGGCATGCAAGTCACCGCACATAGCACTACGATGTGCAAATTCGGGGTTTCAAACCCTCAACACAGCATTTACATTTATTACTAACCTCAAGCCGGCCAAAGTCCTAGCTTGCTATGCCCTTGCCTTTCGAATTCACCTCTTCGCGCGTCGAATCTGCCAAAAACNACAACGATACGTCACAATATGCTAAGGGAATATAACCCAATCGAAAAGACTCGAAAAACATCGAAAATCACGAAGTTGGCAAAACCCGAGCCCCGGGCCCACTTCTCGAAAAATTATAAAATTCACATCACCGGATTCCTTATCTCGCCACGAGTCCATGCATATAAAGAACACCAAAATCGGAGTCCAAATGACCCCTCAAATTCCCATTTTTGTTCTCTTAGGTTTCAAGCCCTAAACCACCATTTTTGACCCTAATTCCTTGAGTTTTCAGTGAAATTTCATGTATTTGCATGATAAAATTGTGTTCTAAGTCCAAGAATGCTTACCTGATCGAAGTCCTTGAATTTCCTCTTCAAAATCGCTCAAGAACACCCCAAGTCCGAAGTCAAAATATGTGTTCTGTAAATATTTCGCGAAGGGAATTAAAACCCTTTCTGACCAGTTATTTCCGCATCTGCGGCTACATAGCCGCATCTGCGACTTCCGCTTTTGCGATGGGGAGCCGCTTCTGCGGACAAGACCGCTTCTGCGGTTACTAGACCGCTTCTGCGGTCTCGCATCTGCGATTCCTTTTACGCAGGTGCGGTTTCCTTTAGCCTTCCAAAATTCCGCATCTGCGGTCCTACTGTCGCATCCGCGACTCCGCAGATGCGGTCAGCATCTCCGCACCTGCGATGCCTGTCGCTTCTGCGGTTCTTGACTCGCTTCTGCGGTACCGCTTCTGCGGTCCCATTTCCGCAGGAGCGAAAATACCAGAAGCAGCACAGGTTCTGCAATCTCCTAAGTTCAAAACTTCCCGTTAGCCATCCGAAATCACCCCGAGGCCCTCGGGACCTCAACCAAAAATACAAACATGATCCAATACCTTATTCAAACTTGCTCCAATCATTAAAACACCTCAAACAACACTAAAACCATCATTTCTCATCGAATTCAAGCCTAAGTTCTTCTAAAACTTCCGAAACACGCATTCGATCAGAAACCCAACCAAAACACCTCCGAATGACCTGAAATTTTGCACACACATCCAAAATCACCTAACGAAGCTACAGCAACTCTCGGAATCTCATTCCGACCCCCGGATCAAAATCTCACCTACCAACCGGAATTCGCCAAAATACTAACTTCGCCAATTCAAGCCTAATTATACACCGAACCTCCAAAATCAATTCTGATCGCACTCCTAAGTCACAAATCATCCCCCGAAGCTAACCAAATCATCGGAATTCAAATCCGAGCCCTCTAACACAAAAGTCAACATCCGGTTGACTTTTCCAACTTAAGCCTTCTTAAAAGAGACTAAGTGTCTCATTTCTTATCAAAACCATTCCAAACCCACTCTAACACATCAAATACTGATAATGAAACGTGAAGAAGCATAACATGGGGGAAACGGGGCGGTAACTCACGTGACGACGGGTCGGATCGTCACAGTCACAACCATAAAAAGCCATGTGGCAATATTAAGACAAAACAAACTACTTTTTTAACTTTAAAAACTTCTTAATTTTAAATTTTGAACTAATTGTTTATTCATATTCAAGGTTTAACCTCTTTCAGCCGCGTTCCTAAGCATTAGGAGAAATTATTATCTTATTTATTATAAATAAAGAACTGGCGCAAATACCAAAAAAATGTGTGTTTACTTATACAAAACAACTTCAAAAAACCGAAATCCAACACACCACTCTGGTGATATGACACCTCAATACCGGCCTAAGCCACAACTTGCATAATATGCGTACCAATAAGAAACGGTCTGAACATACTCAAATCATGAAAATGACTCAAACGAAAGAGCGGTACCTCAAGCTCATCAGAACTGCCACAACACAAGGCTGAGACCCTGCCTCACATCATAGAATAGAACACACAAGTTTGACCCGCAAGGTCATGTTTCCATACGGCTTTGTTGCAACGCGCGATGCTATCTAAATACTACTTCCACCTGGAACACCTCTAGTCACTATGCTTGAAATCGACAACCATGCTCAATTGATGTCTGGAGCCAAAGAGAATCATTACACATCCCATGCTCTGCATGACCTACATAGGTCTTGTTCAAATTCTTCCAATACCGACACGACGGATGAGATCTGAATGAATTCATGACACTGCTGAACCAACCATTCATTGGGTCTATACTTCTGGCAAGAACTATCACCTCATTCTGAACCAAATAATGGTCTTAGCCCCCTTAATTTACTTCATCTGCTCAGATTGCACTGAGATCGAATTCAATAATCTCGTTTCACCCAGTACGAACTGCTCGGGCAATAAGCCACCCCAGACATAATTAAAAGTCTCATATGATGCTACAAAGCGCCGATAGGCTACCGATACGAATGCGGTAGAAAAAGAAAAAGAACTCTGAAAGGAACTGCCTAACTCACGCACTATTATGTGCTCTCCTTAGAAAAATAAGAAGCAAGGCATACAAAAATAGCATATAGAAAACCATGCTCAATATCATACTGTTGCGACGCGCAACCCGATCCAAACACACACTCATGGCGGCGTGCCACCCGATCCACACATAACACTCACCTAAAGAGGTGTACATCAAGCTAAATTGCTCATTAATATAAAATACCGGATTTCGGTCACAAGTATGCTAAGTGCACAATACCGTCCCTGAGGGGCAATANTAGCGCTATAGCTACCAAACTCAAGCTCAACTGAGGT